AGTGATAAATCTGTGGGTGAAATGCGATAAATATATAAACTAAATGCCATGAGACAAAATACCAGCATCCTTATCACTCTGGAGGTGTCGAGAAAAATTGGTTTAAAATGTTGATAGTTATGCAAATGAGATGATAGGCACATGTCTATTATTTCTGTCATGTATCTTTTTAGTATATGCTAAACATGGTTCATTGGAAAATGGCTGAAAAAATAAGCTAGTGATGCATTCATTTTCTTGTAAATTTATCTGCTGGTGAAAATTAGGATAGAATCATTGCTCATTAATGACCTGATGTTTTCATATCTTTCTCAATTTCTGGCTACTGTACTAAAAAAATTCTGACCTATTCCTCTCATTTGTCATTGATTAAGCTCTCCAGGCAGAATGTCTTCATCTTACATGGTCATACATGTTCTAACTTGAAAAGTGAGTGAGAACAGAATGGGGAAACTCTTTCATCCAAATGATGTTCTTCAGTCAGAAAGGGTGTGTCATCTGCATATCATGGTTGTTAATAAACCTTCCTCCAATCCTGGTGCAGCATTCTTCTTCATACAGCCCAGATTCTTGGATTATTTGCTCAGTATACAGATTGAATAAGTATGGGGAGAAGATATAATCCTGATGCACATTTTTCTTGCTTTTAAGCCAGGCAGTGTTCTCTTTTTCTGTTTGAAAGACTACCTCTTGATCGATGTACAAGTTCTATATGAGCACAATGAAGGGTTCTGGAATTCCCATTATTCTCAATGATAGGCCTAGTTGGTTATGATTCACACATTTGAATGCTTTGCATAGTCATCAAAACACAAGTAAATGTCTTCCTGTTGTTCTCTGCTTTGGGCCAAGATCCATCTGATGTCAGCAATCATGTCATTTCTTCCAAGACCTCTTCTGAATCTTGCTTGAATTTCTGGCAGCTCCCTGTTAATGTACTACTGCAAACATTGTCAATAATCTTCAGCAAAAAAATCTCCCATTTATTTTCATGGAATATTAATTATATTGTTTGATAAGTTTCACATCCTATTGGGCTTTGGAATGGGTACAAATATAGATAGATATCTTCCACATAGCTGTCTTCCTTTTTTTTAAACATTGATGAGTCAGTGCTTCCAGATCTTCACCAGCATGTTGACACATTTCAATTGATTCCCGCAGCCTTGTTTTTGGTAATACCTTCACAGTGCAACATAGACTTCTTCTTTCAGGACCATTGGTTCTTGATCATATGCTACTTCTTGAAATGGTGGATGTCGAATATTCTTTTTTTGATATAGTGCCACTATCTTTTTGATAACATACAATGAACTTAATCCAGGAAGTTTATACACACAGCACTAAACCAGGCTTTGAACTAACACTATCTAGAGTAATGAATTATATTTATGATTGTCGTAGTTACATAATTTCATTTCAACTTGATAAATAGGTCATGAGGGTGGAGTCTAGCCTGTCAGTTGGGTCACAGCCTGATTGGTGTCTCCTTGTGGCCATGGCTTTCTTATGAGAATCCTGAGAGTTTTCCTCTCTTCCTCCCTGGAGGTGGGACACACTCTCTCTCTGCTACACATTCCTGTTCACAAGCCACATGGAGCCACGCTGATGGCATCCAGAGCCCTGGAGCTAGAGGAGCCATGTGGAGACCCATACCAGGGCTCAGATGCTTCCACCATCACTGGCTCCACCACTGGTCTGTGATCTTCCTGCATTCGGCATCATTGCATGTGTTGCATGAGTCTAAAGAGCAATTTATGGACTAGTATCAGACATATGGGCTAATATCAGACTTATGGGCTTGATGTGGACTGGGCTGGGGTGTTTAATCAATAGACAATTGCTCTTTGATATAAAGCTCTTTGCTGTATTTAATATGAGTCTCCCTGGATTTGTTTCTCTAGTCTACCCAGACTAACACAATGATCAACATTAGGTTAATAATATACGTACACACAAATTAGATACATTTAATTTTTAATGTCAAATATTGTTTATTGCATAAATATTACTCCATTTTAGTATTAGTAAGCATTTCGTGTCAAATTTGTTGATAATCTTGATAGTGCTCTAGAGAAGCAGTTTTATGTATTGCAACAAACAAATCCTTTCAAAGTTAGTAAGAGTGCTTTCAATTCCTTATTCTACCAGTTACCAGCAATAATTAACTTCTGTCAACTTCAGTTTCTTTATGCCTGAATATGATTATAAAAATAACTTGCAGATTTATTGACCGGTTTAGCCACATTATAAATTTTCAAACAATTTTTGCTTCCATTTTTATAATTTCTTTCAGAAATAAAACAAAAACATTCTAGCAGGATAGTTAATATTAGCCATGTATTTCTTTTCTTTATTGTTGATAGATCCATGGCAAATGTTACATATTTTTAATATGTGTATAATACGTTTTTGTTTGTATTATCAAAAGTGTCAAATAACCATGCTGGTGGTGTTATGCGGATGGTTATCTGTCTGCTATGCATGTTTGGATAGGTGGTAGACATAAAGAATGCTAAAATTTGGTGTACAGATGAGACCACCTCCACGGCATTTACTGTCCTGAGTAGAATAAGTATACTTAAACAGAAAATGGTTGTTTGGAAAAAGTGGACAGCAGAAGATTAATTTGTAAAAGTAGTGTGTGGAAGGAAGAATAGGTCCAATCTAATATTGTTGATAGCGTTGGGTAATAAGATGAGATCAGAGAAATATTCCTCAGGAGGATGTCATTTGAACTCAGACTTGTAGGACAATTAGGGCCTGGTCAGTTGAAAACTAAGAGAAATATTGCTACTTAAAGTATGAATAGTGACCGAAATAAAAAGAACAAGGATTAACGGAAGCTTAATATCTTAGAACACAAAGCGGAAAATAGTAAATAATACAACAAAAAATTCAGTGCAGATTTTTGAGGGATAACATTGGGCTCATAATTTATATTTATTAAATTACTAAGCTCAAAATTTCATAAAGCAAATCATCTTCTTTTAATTAAAAAAAAATTTTTTTTGCAAATCATCCTATTGATTAGAATTTTCACATTTTTCTTACTCTCTTATCTCCAAACCCTACATATTTGACTTGGGAGTTGTTTACTAAACAGCTTTCCAGACCGATTCACTTTTTGAACTTATTGCCATATTTTTGCTTAACTTAAATATTACACATTCAAGATTTAATATTTAAAATTTTTGCATCAGCATCAAGTCCATTTGTGCATCAGCATAAATTTTTATTTATTTATATTTTTGTGCACGTGGACTCCTAAGTTCTTTTCCAGGCATCACCAGTATATTTTTATCTTCTTAACGTAACCCAGGCTTTGTGGGAAAGAACTTGAACTAACTCATTTGAATTACTATGGTCAATAACATCTGAAAATAGTGTGATTTTAAATCTTTTCTAAGATTGTAAGAATCCTACACTTATATCTTTACACTTATTCCATTTTTGAAACAGACATTAGATGAGGTTTTTTTGGCTTGTTATTTCTTATAAGTATTATGGATTTTATTTAATGTTATTATTTTACCTTTCATTTGAATAGATTTGTCTTAAAGAAATGATATACCCCATTGCACCAAAGCATTCGGTGTATCCTCCAATATTTGAGTATCGGTAAATCCAAGCCAAAGGCCAGGGCATGCTTAGATTCTCTGAAACAATAAGTTTCTTACCGACTGAGATTATTGTCCTCACAGAGATCTATTTAGAAGAAGAAGCAATACATTTGGTATTGATCATATAAGGCTGACTAGGTTTGAAAGAGACAAAACAAGATGAAAATTTAAGTAGATATGCTTAGTTCTCCTGATGTCTTTACATCTCTAATGCTTTGAGAGTAATAGAATTCTTTTGATTATCTCATTAAAGGCTTGTTTGACCTGCTTGTTCCTCAGAGTATAAATAAATGGGTTTAACATGGGAGAAATGGATGTTGTTAGTATTGTCACCCCCTTATTGACAGCCATTTCATCCTTTGCTGAAGGTTTGATATAGACAAAGATGCAGCTGCCATAGGTGATGGAAACCACAATGATGTGGGAAGAACAAGTAGAAAAAGCCTTTTTCCTTTGTTGAGCAGAGGGGAATCTTAAAATTGTTCTCATGATATATATGTAGGACAAGACCACACACACTAGAGTCATGATAAAGATCACTACAGAGCAAACAATAACCAACTGCTCTATGAACCATGTATCTGTGCATGAGATCTTCAGAATTGGGTTAGCATCACAGACAAAGTGGTCAATGACATTAGAATCACAGAATTCCAGATTGAGTCCCAGGGTGAGTGGTGGGAAGATGATCAATAACGTAATGGTCCAGCAGCCTAGGATAAACCTTTTGCAGGCCATGTGGTTCATGATAGTCATGTAGTGCAGGGGTTTGCAGATGGCCACATATCGATCATAGGACATTGTTGCCAGGAGGAAAAATTCTGTTACTCCAAACAAGTCTGTGAAAAACAGTTGGCTTACACAAGCATCATAGGTAATAGTCCTGTCACCTGTTGATAAGCTGTATAGGAATCTCGGAATGCAGGCAGAGGTGAATGAGATTTCTAAGAAAGAGAAATTTTGGAGAAAAAAGTACATGGCAGTTTTAAGGTGTGAATCCACTAATGTGAGGAAGATGATGGTCATATTTCCAATTACACTTAACATGTAGGTGATAAGTAGAAATATAAAAATCAGATTCTGCAGTTGTGGGTCTTCTGTCAGTCCCAGGAGGATGAATGTGGTTAGTGCAGACTGGTTTCTCATCCCTGGTTCCTAACTTCTTCCCAATCCATGTGCAGAACTATGAGATATAAGGTTTGAGAGGAGAGTAAAGATAATTTTTCCGATGGATGTGCGTTTTAAAAGTCAGATGTGTTTTACATTATGCTTGAGTTGGTAATGAATTTTTTTTAATTCATATTCTTTACTGTTTTGGTCTGTCATTCAATTGGTTTGAAATCTGGCTTTAAGCATCCTTAATTGAAGCAAGACACATTTTATGTTACAATCCATGTACTACCTAGCTCCTACATTGTCATATATCTGAAACAAAAATATTACAAAATTTTCTAACTCCTGGAATGACTTGCCCTCTGTTTATATTTTTATATGTGTCATTAAAAAACCAAATTCAAATATTATTGCTGGATTTATGGCCTACTGGTGGTTTAAAATATACAAACAGACATTGAATATTTACAAAGATATTTTTAATGATTATATAATTCAAACTATGCCACCATATTAATCTCAATGGTTTAAAAAATTTAACATACTCTCTGGTTTACTTCTGAATGTATTTATTCACAGCACAGACTTCTTCTATATGAGATATAATAAAATCAGGGATATTAGAATTCACTTTGTTTATTAGAATTTTTTACCCCAAAACTGAAAATCTTATCAGTTTTCTTTATCTACTTGGTGATGTGTGGGGTGATCATGACCATCAAGATGTTTTAGTAATTTAGAAGTCTGGTTATTTCAATGACCAAAGCGATAATTGATATACAAGGGAAATGCCCTAGAAAAAAATCATCCTTTAGAGCTTTTCCGTAATTTTCTCAAATTTGTGTGCTTTTAATAACTTTTCACTGATTGTCTATTTTGGCACAGATCACAGATAGACAATTAATCTACTAATTAATGAAGGAATGTTTTATGAAAGATGTCCACAATTTCAGAATACAGTATTATCTTCATTTTCTTATGATTTAATTCTGTTTGTTTTGGACTAACATCCAGTGATTTTTTCCTTGTATTCATATTGCTGATAGTACAATTAGATTTGTAATGCTTTTCAGTGTTATTGACATATAATTCACATACCATATAATTCGATGACTTAAGCATATCGAGTTGTGCAATTATCACTACAGTCAATTTTAGAACATTTTCTTCATCCTTATACTCATTATTATTAGCTCCCACTTTCCCCTCAGGTTCCCTTGCCATAACCCTAAAAAATCCAATTACTGTCTCTCTGGATTTACCTGTTCTGGATTTCATTTAAAGAAAAATATACGGCTCCCCTTTCAACAAAAACAAACAAAACACAGAAAACTTCAATCGAAAAAAAAAGCAGAAAATAATAAAAGCTGGAACAAATTTAAAATGGATCAAATGTGACAACAAAAGTTTAAGGTGTTAAATTTTAACCTAACTACATTAACATTAATCCATATTCCAGAGCACTCTGTCGTATAACAAGGGTATTGACATCCTTGGTTAATGGTCAAAGGGGATTTTCCAGAGGTTTCACCCACTTGGGGATGCTGCAAATGGATCTGGAGCTTTTACTGTCATCCATAGCCTTCTAAAAAATGGTGCTCTGAATTTAAACTCGAATACAGTTCCCTCCTCAGATTTTAGGGTTTTCTTAAAATTGGATCACATAGGCTGGTGTGTTCCTTATGTGTGCACTCATGACGCCTCTCTTAGATGGCTGTTTGTTTTAAGACAAGCCTGTAAGACCCTAGATGTTATTCTTTCTGTTAGCAGGCACCATCTGATTTCTTTAGCTCTGTAAATCTTGAATTGAATACCCAACTTCACTTTCTGTGTTTACAACAATTTGCAGCAATATTCTCTTGGTCCTGACTTTGATCTTACTGAGCTCTTGATGTTACTGCTCCTGAACCTACCATTCCACTGAAGCTTCTCCTGGAAAGCCAATTGGTGGTAGATTAAATAAAATGTAGCCATCTTATTTGACCGTTAGCTTCAATTTGCACTGCCAGGCCAATGCCTTCGTTCTTCCCCTTTTCTAGACACGTTTGCGCAGTGTTCAGGCTACCCTGCTGGGTTTTGTTGTCTTAGGAGCCCTGATGGTGTAGTGGTTACACGCTGGCTGCAATCATCATGGTCTGCATTTCGAAACCACCAGCGGCCCGACAGGAGAAAGACTGGGTTTTCCACTTCCATAAACAGTTCCAGTCTCAAAAACCCACAGAGGGTCGCTATGAGTCAGCATTGATCTAAATGGTAGTGAGTTTGGTTGGGTTTCCGCTCGTCTGGGTATATCTTCCCCTTCTCATCTTTATAACACTGAGTTTTCTCAGACTCCTCTAGTTTTTCTCTTCTACTTCTGCATAGGTTTTTCTGGAAATATTCCATGACTTCTATTTAGCATTTAAAATTTTATGATAGAAAGTTAAGACATAATCTCTTGAATGGTTAGTTACCTGTATATCAACTTCCAAATTCCTCTCAAATAAAAACATTTAAAACAGAATTTCACATTTTCTGCCACCATGTTTGCTGCTTTTCTCATTCTTTGTTTGCTCTACAAAACTCCCAAATCATCATTTATCATCTTATATGAACAACACGGAGTCCCTGACAGTGTAAATGGTTAGGAACCTTGGCTGCTAACCAAAAATCCAGAAGCTTGAGCTCACCCATAAGCACTTGAAAATAATCTATCAATCCACCTACCAAAAAACCCCAAACAAAGAAACATTGAAAATACAGCAGAGCATGGATCTGCTCTGATATACATGGGGTTGCTTTTAGTCAGAATAAACTTGTCCACAAATTTTCTTTTTATTAACAATAAAGTTCTGGCGCTATCCTTTACTTAGCCCGATCTTAAAATTCTATTCTCAATCAAAACAGTTTAATTTAATTCCACTGACTCTAGCTAGAATAGAGGTAGTTTTCTTTCCTCATTTGGGTATGATTACATTGTAGAATGTGGCTGTATACCACATTCATTGTCTGACATGTATTACATGTAATCATTATACAGGGACTATCTGCTGAAAAGATTTATGATTTCATCATTTTTCTCCCTTCCCTACTCGATGTGACCTCTTGATTCTGACTTCTAGCTGGCTCTCGCTGAATACTTTCTAGGTTTATTGTTTAGTCTTTTCAGAGGACCTGCTCCGATCTTCTAATCCTGGTTAGACAGGATCCTATGTGTTTGATCACACCTTGTGCCTGCAGAAGGTGTAAAACTCAGATGAAATCAGAATTTATATCTTTATTATCATAGACATAGAACTGGAAGAACTTGACACACAGATTTAATTCTTAACTAATATTTTCCCTTATATTAAAATCAACATATATAGTTTCTTAAGTGTACCTGATTTCAAAACTGTCCTCAGTTAATTTTGTCATATGCTTGATGCTACTTCAGGTGATTTGTGTGTGTGTGTGTGTGTCTGTGTGTGTAGGGATTGAGTTGTTTGGCTCTTGTATCACACTGTGACCTGACTACACAATCAGTTCATGCATATGACCTGCATTAAGCAAAAAATAATCACCTAATTTATCATTACGTGTTGTAGAAATAACCTTTTATTTTTGTTCTCCCTGAATGGTGCTGCTGCAATATATTTGTCATTAGCATACTCATATTAAGATTTTTTTTAAATGTTGTTTTTGTTAGGTGCCATCAAGCCAATTTCATCTCATAGCAACCCCTGAGTAGAACTGCTCTATCTCTGGAAAGGAACCGTAGAAGTACAGCGATTCAGTGGTTAAGTGCTTCACTGCTGGCACAAAGGCAGCTAGGTGAACCTACCAGCTGCTTTGCAAGAGGCAGAGACAGCAGCTTGTTTCATATTACAATCCTGGAGATGTTAGGGAGCAGTTCTACTGGGTTCTACAGGATCATTATGAATCAAAATAGACGGTATGGTAAAGGATTTGGTTTGGTTTGGTTTAATCTTTAAAGAAGTAGATCTCCATTAACTGGATTCAAACCACCAACCTTTCAGTTGGCAGCCCAACACACAAGCATTTGCACCACTTGGCTTCCTCAACCACAATTCCAAATCCACTGTAGTGAAGACAATTCTGAGCCCATGTGTCTCAGTGTTTTCGTACCCAGTTGCCAATCAAACGGTCAGTGGTTGGAACTCATTAACTACTGGATCAAACTTGTGGGAGTACACTATGTCACGTTTATCATCTTGGAAACCTCATTCTTCTCTGTCCAACTGGGTCATTTTTGTGAAGCAGAGGTTAAGGGTGCTTAAATTCTGGATTTGGAGGAATTCTGCTCTGTGGGTATTTCTGTCAATACCAATAAACTACGTAAAAATCTTTTTAGTTGCTTTTTAATTTTCGTTCAAGTGCATCAGTAAATTGAGAAAAAAAATCCTCTGGAAGCCCAAATTAACTGATTATCTTGAAGGTTTTGTTTAATTGCTTTAAATACAAGGGTGAGTCAACAAGTTTTGCTACCAGTGTTTTGGTTCAAACATACATGTGCTTATTCCAAATAAAGTATATCTGTGCTCAGTGGATGACTGTAAAAAAGTTCTGTCAGTAACACACTTGTCTTAGTCTCATTAGGTTAGGGTTTTTTGGGTTATTTTGTTGCTGTTGTTGTTTTAAAGGTCCAGTCAATAAAGTAGGTTTGGAGGGGGATCTGTTTGGTCAGTTCAATTCAAGGCAGAAAGGTTAACTTAAAAGGTATTGACTACTTTTTTGGGGCGGGGGGAGAATTCCAAAGGTGTAATATAAATTTTTTTAAAGGATACAAGATCATCATGGAGGTCAATTTGAAGAACTTAAGGACATTGAAAAGTACAATAATTGGCCATAAAGTTGAGCCAAGGAATTTTTTCCTCTTTCATGAGAATGAACCTGCTCACTCTTCAAGGATAGAAAGGACAGTCCTGTAAGAATTTCATAAGGAAACCTTACCCTTCTACCATATAGCCTTGCTCATGTGCCTTCATATTTCTTTTTGTTCCCCAAATGCAAAGAACATGATCTGAGTTACTGAAGGATTTAAAACCGACGTTTTGCTACAGTATGTGTTAAAGAGTGAAGCATTATTCTGGAACATCTTTAAACAGATAGAAAACCATCTTCGAAAGTGTATAGTGGAGGATATGTCAAGAAACAGTATCTTCGTGGTTTGATGTTTTTTGTTTAATAAAGGGCTCTGAGGTTCTGTAGCATTATTTTTAGACCAACCAAGTATGTTCTTCCCGAAGAAATGAGAGAACGGTCTCTATCCTCTACATGCTCATTTTCCCTAGTGAATTCCATAGAATTTCAATAATTTAGAATTTCCATAGTGTGGGAAAAAGAACTTTTATTTATGAATTAGGAAAAAGCTGCCATAGTTGCAAGACTGTGAGAATCACACTGATAATAATGGATGAGGTAAATAATTAGCAATAAATTAACTAATTAATAATTAAATAGCTCAATGAAAAGTTTAATAATAGACATATAGGGATTTATTACATCTAGAGTTAACTTGCTTCTTTGTTTTTTAATTGAGTCATCTGGTATGGGTGCCTTAAACAAAACTCAAAATTTTGAGCCATGCCCTTGCTCCTAAACAGCTCTTCAAAAGTTGGTTGACAATGTCTTATAACTTATTGATTTGTATGTATTTGTTTTTAGAGACTCAAATAATTAAGTGAAAATATCCAAATTAGTCACCAGATGATTTGAGTCTGATTTTAGAAGTTTTTCATTTAAGTAATCTTTAGATGATGTACTTTTGCTAATACATAAACTTAATCTTATGACTGCCTTAAGTCACACGCTTTTGCCTCTTTAAAAATTTTAAACTACAATTTAATGACCTATTTACAGCTCTTTATTTTGATAAAGTCTATTTAAAAAATGTTTATTTGAGAAAATCATCATCCAAGTCTACTATAAGGAAAAGAAATGGAATCACACACAAGTACTTACTCTTTAAATAGTCCATAATGGTTTCAGTTGATAAATTAATCTTGAGAATCCTGAGAATTTAAAAGATGATAAAGAGTATGTTTGCACAGGTTTGGTTGTGGACTTCTGGTCAGTCTGACTCATAGGCCCATACTCACCTCCTAGGTATCCTGAAATGTGTTGATTTACTTGATATTTTCATTCCCAACATGTGGTCATATCTCTCTTAATAAAATATTTGTCTGATTCTTAAAATATATTTAGGCTTAAAGTTGAAGAGAATAGTGAAAATTCTCTCTCATTCCAAAAGAGAAGGTATTCAACCTTTCTAGATGAAGCTGAAATTTTTACAAGAATCACATTTGTTATATTTGCCAATCCTGGAACCTAGTACATTAGTGAGAGTCCTTGGTGACCTAAGTCCCAAAGTCTTTAATGAATTAGTGTAATGAGCACCTACCTGGTGAAACTGTTGCTTATGCAGCGGTGGGTACGGTGTCCTTTGAGAGATGAAGAGGCCAAAGTACTATACAACAAAGACCATGTACCAACAATAAAAATCTAATAATAATGAGCAAGCATCTTCTCCTTTCTTCTTTTTGTTCCGTAATCTCTCTGACAGACAACAGAATGCGATCTCTTTTTCTCCTTTTGTGATATTTCTATTACTTTATGTAATTGTTTTTATTATAAAAATGTTTTAATTAAGATAATAAAAGAAGTAACACTATAATAGCAATAACAGTATAATTTAAAAGGAATAACACTTAATATTTCAGGTACACTTTTTATTTATGTGGAAATACATAAATATTCAGCATGTTCACAAAATGAAGACCATATTTACATGATTTTCAAAAATTAATGTGTCAATACAATACATAGCAATATTTATATCTCAGTAATTATGACAGTGTGTCATCATTTCAGGAAATGGAAATATTTATTTTGGGGCATTTCATCTGAATTTGAAGATAACCTTAATAGTTGAAAATGTGCTAGTGAATTTTTTCACTATTATAAAAATCTGACAACCTAGGAGTAATTAAGGAACCCTGGTGATGTAGTGGGTTATGCGTTGGGCTGCTTGCTAACCGTATTAAAGTCAGCAGTTTTGAACTATCAGATGCTCCATGGGAAAAAGATGAGTCTGTCTACTTCCTTAAAGATTTGCAGCCTCAGAAACTCTACATTGGGTTTCTATTGGTTGGAACTGATTCAACAGCAGTGGGTAAGGTGAACTTACAAGTGGTTATGATATGATATAGTTTTAATTATAGATTTATATTGTTCCCTTTCAAAATTTACATTTCCACAGTGAGAAGAAAATTCATTCTAATGCAAGTATCTGATTACTTAGACTAAAATTATAATTTCAGATTAATGTTTGAAAAAGTTAAATTTCATAGA